CCTAAACAACCAATCAGATGACTGCGCTTGTCTATAATAATGTAGTTGAAAGATGTATAAATACGTGTTGATTTTCATAATAAAACGATCTGTTGCCTGGCCCTTGTCTTCTGTTGTTACATTTGGTGTCGCTGCCTACCGACAAATGAAAAGCCTATACCCTGCAGTTTTTGATGGAGACATATGGATCTTCGGGCAGGACTTCAAGGCTTCTGCGCAGTTGAGTGGCGTTCAAGATCTGTCAGCGATGGAGCTGCTACTTGAGACGCTGCTGGGAGGTCGGGCGAAAGCAGCATATGAAGGTGTGGGCCGAAGTATGGACGAATGTTCGACAGGGTCAGGCAAACAGTTTCCAAAGTGGGAAGGACCATATATGGTCACTTCGAGATGGGGTTACGCAGACACAGTCGCAATGGCGAACAATGAGAGGCGCGTGAACGTCAGCGAGCTCCAGAAATGGATACAGCGAGACAAGCCAACGATGACGCCTGCACCAAGTAGATCAAGCCGACTTCAGTCGCACGTATTTGACGGGGGACGAGTGTGGTGAGAGCAGGCTGCTAGCCGATTGGTTGGCACTAATCTACGTTAAGGTCTAGGTCACTAATATGGGCCGTGAGAAAATATGAACAAGCCTGAGTCAACAACCAATCACAGCAAAGTTAACGTGGCAGAATGATTCGCAGAGAGAACTCTATTTGTCAAGGAATCCCGAAACAACCAATCAGAAGCCTGCGTTTGTCTACCTAAACAACCAATCAGATGACTGCGCTTGTCTATAATAATGTATTTGAAAGATGTATAAATACGTGTTGATTTTCATAATAAAACGATCTGTTGCCTGGCCCTTGTCTTCTGTTGTTACAATGGTACTTCCCAAATAAGTGAAGCGGTCAACGTGCTCTACCACTTCACTTCCTATTTTTAAACTAGGCGTCGATGTAGTCCAGTCCTGTAACATCATCTTGCATTTGGCGGGAGCGAATCGCATGCCAAACATTCGTAGATTGCGGCTCAAGGTGTTTAGAAGACTCTGCATTTCGTCAGCGTCTTCGCCTAGAAGGACTATATCGTCTGCATATTCCAAGTCAACGAGATTATTCCCGGTAGCAAGTCAATCCCTGAATCGCTGAAGTCACCTAGGGTTAAGTCCATTAACACATCTATGATGAAGTTGAATAGAAAAGGAGATAATGGGCATCCTTGACGGACACCACTGGTCGTCATCAGTTCAGATGACAGCTCGCCGTAAGCCCTCACCTGGCTGTATGAGTACGAGTAGAGTGCCTTAATCAGTGCAATATATTTTCTTGGAATTCCCTTTACAGCCAAGCATCTCCAGAGAACTTCCCGATCGACAGAGTCGAATGCTGCCTTTAGGTCAAGAAATATAATGACTGTTGGACGCCGGTAGGAATGCCTATGTTCTAGAATCTGTCGGAGGGTGAAGATATGATCAATACACCCTCTTCCTGGTCTAAAGCCTGCCTGGCTCTCTCGTGTTTGTGCTTCCCGAGCACCACTCAGTCTACGCATGATTATTGAGCCTAAGACTTTAGATACTATATTAGTCAAGCTAATCCCTCTGTGATTATCACAGGAAGACTTGTCTCCCTTCTTGTATATGGGGATAATCAGTGACTTACACCAACCCGATGGGACTTCTTCTGATTCCCAGACGCTGCCTAGTACCTCAGTTAATCCGGACAGTAAGCTGTCTCCACCGTACTTAAATACCTCTGGAGTCATTCCATCAGGTCCCGCTGCTTTGCCTAGTTTCAGATTGGTGACAGCTTTAGTAACCTCAGTTAGTGACGGAGGACCTGTGTCTATATCCCATTCAGGGAGGTGTTGGATGCTCGGAAGGTTGAGCGTGGCTGTGGGCAAATTAAACTGCTCCTCATAATGCTCTTTCCAACGATCCAGTCGTCTATCCTGGAGCTAATTATAGTGCCATTTTTTTCCGAGATTGTCTCACTATGATTTGTCTTCTCCCACCCGTTTCCCTGATGAGTCCAAAGAGTTGCCTGGTGTTGCCTATCCTCGAAGCTTTCTCCATCTCTTTGGCTTTTGTCGCCCACCACTGTTCACGGTCCTTGCGGAGACTTTTCGTAAGTTTCCTCTTGTGCAGCTTTCGCTCCTCATTGAATTCGGAGCTCGCCGGAATAAGTCTTCTAGCATCTATCAGTTCGGATGAGGCGGTGGAGATCCAGTGGTTTTTACTCACCTTTGGGTTTACCTTATTCACAGCTTTTACAGCTGTATCTATGGCTGCCTGGATATTTTTCCAAGCTTCTTCAGGGTGAGCACAGCTGTCGAACACAGATATGTGTTTAGCTAGTTCTTCCTCAAATACGGATTTAGTTTCCTGATCGAGCTGGGGACGTGATGGTTTTACCGCCAGCTGTTTCCTACGTCCGTTCAGTCGTAAGCACACCCGAGCGCGGACCAGTGCATGGTCGGTATCTACGCACGTGTTCCAGAAGGAGCGACAATCTCCTACCGACCCACGCCAACGATAGCTTATTGCTATGTGGTCTATTTGTGTCCAGCGTTGGTTTGATGAAGGGGGTCTCCAAGTCAAACAGTGTCTCTCCTTGTGTTTAAAGTTAGTGCTTACAAGAAACAAATGATTATCAGAGCAGAACTGTAGGAGACGGTCACCGTTGTCGGTTCGCTGGCACGGAACTCCATAGGTGCCACCGACATCCTTCTCAGATTGACACAATTTCCCTACTTGAGCGTTAAAGTCACCAGCTAGAACGACTATGTCTGAGCGTTTAGCCTTTCCACCAAACTAGACAGCTTTTGGTAGAACTCATCCTTCGTTTCATCTGAACTGCAGTCAGTGGGGGCGTAGGCGGAGATTACGAAAAGGCATCGGCGAGTAGTGCAGTCCTTCCTCCTTCTTACTGATCCGTTCAGGCGGACAGCACACATTCGGCTATCTACCGGGATCCAGTCAAGCAATGTCTTTTCTGCCCTAGGCTGGCGTACCTATAACTGCCTTAAAGGGATTCACGTCCCTTCTGAGGTTCAAACCAGTGTCACGCAGTGCCACTAGTAGTCAGAGATGTAACCACTGAGCTATTTGGGCTAGGGATTGACCTCCTGCAGGACTGACTGTATCGGATATTTTTGATTGGACACTAGTCAGTCAATCACTAGTGTAATGTGTCTAGTCCTCCTTTCTTTGATACAGACTGAACTCTCTCAGTCGTACCAAGAATTCACAGTGCACTGTAATGGAGAGCCGCCTAGAGTGGTGGCCACATTGCAAGCTTGACTGATAAAATTCAACCTGCACACATTACACTAGTTACTGACTACTGTCCAATCCAAATAGTGGGTTATATATTCGAATTGCTCCCCACCTACAAAGATTTAAACAACCAGGTTTGTATTACGAACCTACACACTATATATAAATGTATGGCACATTTCAAACTCTGTGAAATTGAAATAGCCTGCTAAGTAGCGGGAGCAAGTCCTACCCCACTTAACTTCAGTTTAGACAACTGAGCTGGGTAGTAACACCAAGCCTCAAATGATAAGTTTGACTTTTGGTCTAGTGGTGTATGGAAAATTTCTTCTGCCTTGTTGAGTTTAAACAAACATAACAGTATTCATCACTCAATGTATCAATAATAGTTCGTCAGCTAAAGTCTGTCTCAGACAGTGTCAACGCCAGCTATCAGTTTGTCGACTTCAGGCTATCTCTCTCTCTCTCCTTCAGTTCCTCAAACAGCTGAATATTTGTATCCATATCTACTTCAGCGTATGTTATACTCCGACAGGACTTGACCGCTTACATAATGTGAATATATTGAATAGACACTTAACTTTGAAGTATGACCACGAACATAGACAAGACGGAGGTTATGAAAATAACCACCACCACCACCAACAACAGCAACATCCAGCGCCAATCACCATCAACGGGAGGGATTTGAAAGAGGTTACTTCATTCACTCACTGATCTAGGGAGCATTGTCTCAACTAGAGGCTCTCAGAAAGGACGACGATGTCAAATCGACCGACAATCGGGAAGGCGAACGAGAAACACATTCACTCATCAACCTGAAACCAATCTGGAAATCTTCGTCACTCACCATCAATCGACGGAAAAATTCGGTCGGAGTTTCAATACAAACAACGTCAAGTCAGTCAGCTCTTCTATACGGATCAGAAACTTGGCGGGCGGGTCACAAAGAATATTTCCAACAGGCTAACTCAGACCTTTATCAACAACTGTACTGTCTTCGCTGGCTCTATACTGAAGATGAGATGGCCGGGTGGAAAGAATCACCAACACGAAACTATGACTGGGAAAAAACAAAACAAGAACCAATCGACCAACAACAGAAAATATGCAGGAGAAAGTGGAGATGGATTGAACACTCGTGGCTGAGGAGGCCGCCGCTTGGTGACATCGCGCACGCGTCAGGCCATTGGTCGAGTGGAACCAGGCCGAAAGGGAAGCACGTGGCGAGTGGGACGTCAGTGCAAGGGTGAGTGGCATGGAGGATATCGTTTGAGGAGGAGTTGAAAGAGTATGAACTAACTAAAATGGATGGAGGTGAAAAGCACAGCAGAAGACAGAAGTGGCAAGTGGAGAAGTGTAGTTGAAGCCCTATGTTCCACTAGGAACCCAAGGGAACAATAATAAAAAATTAATAATAATTGACCACGAAATGATTTCATTTAGAGAACCATTGGAAACCTACAGAGAGTATGCTAGACAACTGTCACGTCCTCATCTGCGAATCTTCAGTGATTCACACCTATAACTTCACCCAGAATCAGACTCAGAATCTTCAGGTGATGGACTTATGATGGCGTACACTACACTGAACAATCCAAAACTGGGACGAAATGACCATCCTCTAGTACTCTGTATTGGTTTTTAGAGGGTTCTCTCTAAATAATACCGATCTGTGATTGATCGGTCTCAAAACTACGAATGCAAGCACTAATTATATGTACATAAAAAAACTTACTCGCTTTTTACGAATTGAACCAAGTTTCTTTTTAACTAAACTAATAATATGTGGATTTGTACAATTTTCTTGGATTGTATGCAATTCCTCCTGAAGAAATAAAAAGATTTGCGATAATTATGCTGGTGGGGAAAAGAACACGAAAAAAAAAACAAATAAACAAAATGATTTTACTTGGTTTGTTGGTTGGTGGTCAGTAGAGGAATCCAGGAGGAGTGCTTCTTCTTCTTCCTTTTTTTCTATTCAGGACTCATCATCTGAATGTACCTGATTCCTTTCCTTACCCATCGACAGAGAGCAACAGTGTGTACATTGAGGCTTGTAACCCCCCACCCCCACCCCTCAACTCATTGTGTCGAACGTAGAAGCGCCGACAAATAGGCTGAGTATTTCAATTCAATCAAAATTCAAAATAATTCCAACACATAGCAAGAAGAAAACAGCTCATAGAGAAGTTAAACTATCAGGTCCGAGGTTGACATGTCGGCTTCATGTGCAGAGGCTTCGATAATGCCTGGACACATCAATCGACGGGAAAATCTAAAATTCAATTCAATAATTAATATGACCGGTTGCATAAGAGGTGGCTGGCTGTCGTGGCCCAAGTGGTCTAGTGGATAACGCTTTGGTTTTGGAAACTATGAGGACTGGGTTCGAGCCTCGGTGGGAACATCATTACTCACTGAGAAATGCAGGTACATCCACTGGCTGACGAGTCCCAAATAGGACGAAATGCGCTTCATCCTGGATTCCACTGCTAGTCATCATCTACTAATTAACTTCTATCAGGTCCTCAGGGTGCGACTGCTCCGATGACCGCGAACGCCTACTAGTCGTCGGATAATGAGACCTTTCATTGTTATAGAGCACTAATATGTACCCTGTTCACCACATAAGAAGCGAATTTTGCCCAGATCACTTCTTTAAGTACTGTTTGAACAATGCGTTAGTAGCTCGTAATTTATATTTTTGATTACAGCTTGATTCCACACCGTATTTTTTGGTACAAGTATGGAATTTTCAGCATGGATATCGGTAGCCCAAATTTTGCAGGCCGACTATAGATATCTGGTGTGCGTCGGCAGGGGACCAAACCCCGGACCACTTGCATGGTCGGTGAGAGTCCTAACCACTGTGCCACCGAGGCACGGTTAGAAGGAGGATTAAAAGTTAGGATCAGGGTTATAATTAGGATTAGGGTTAGGATAAAGTTTAACGCTTATCGATAAAGTTAAACTATGATAGCCGAAACCACAATAACCTTGGGCAACCAATCAGAATCCGGATAAAAGAAAGTCGCATAATCGCTGAAAAATGCACTGCATAGTTGTAGCTTATGTGTTTTAGGAATGTCTCCCAGTGAATACACATCTGATCTATGAAGAAATCGTATCATGCGCGTTATACCCATTCATCCAAGTAACTGTAGGTCATGGTAATTTGAGATCCATTGATATTTCTCACACTATTCATCAACCTACTCATAACTCTAACCATAATCCTAACTTTAACCCTAAAACTTAATATTCAATGCCATAACCCTACCTACCTGTATAGATTTGCAGAAAAAGTACCCAGTAAATAAGTAGAATACTGCATCTACCCTCTCCAAGGTCAAAAAGGGAGACATAATTTGCTTTTTTTTCTATACTTGCCTTGTAAGGATTAGATTTGTTTTGACGACTTGACCACGGAGGATTCATATCAGTTAGAGAACCATTGAAAACCAGCACTGGAGTTCCGCCAGGCTGCTGTTTCATCCTAGTCTCTTGGGAATCATCGTCAGTACACACCCATCGACAGGGTTCGAACCCAGGACCTTCTGGTTATAAGGCAAGCTCGTATACCATATACCCACTGGGACCCAATTCAATGATCAGCCCATGAATTCTAACTTCTACCAATTCGTGACTTAGCGCAACCCAAACAATGTCATCGGTGGGACATCCGTCCTCACACGTGACTGTATGGACCAACTATAGAAATTTAATCTGATGGTCGCTAGTGAATGACCTCCTACAGGACGTTGTTTCCTGGAGTCAGTTCTAGTGAGTAGTCGTGACCAGTGAGGTACATCCAGTTAAGTGCGAGGATGAAGTTCCCACGATTAGGAATAGGACTGCAGTTGGTATCATTTATTTTAATTTATGTTATTGTCCACATTTTCCTAGTAGGTAAGTCATCGATCGTCTTACTGGAAACCACAGTAATTCAATCGAGGGATTTTGGGTAAGACTGGAAAACAGGATGAGAGCATCAAATGGGTCACAAAAAGAAATTCGCCTTCAATCACCTCGGTGAATACATGTACATAAACTGGTCTAATTTAAAAACTGGTACTGCTCATTATAAAACTGAGAGGTATTTTTAAGTCATGTCAGAGAAAAATAGCCTGCCCCTAGTGTGTTTTCATGCATTTCCCTGTAAATAATGGTCATTTTTGTGTAACAGTCTCCAAATTCCATGTTAGTTTGTTTATTAAATGTATCAGACAGTGAAGAGACAGTATTTTTTACTGGATGACAAGGTTTCGAATGCAGGTTATTACCGTTCATAATCATATCGTCAATTACGATCACACGACTTCGAAACTTGAGTTTTATAGTTTTCTTTGTTCTCTCTCTACTATGTCATCATAGGGGTAGTAGAATCTTTCAGATATCTGGGACAGGTGTTGAATCATTCCTATTACACGTACTCTCTTCAGCTGATTCGATAAACAAGGCTTCTGTTGTCAATCTCTCCCTCCACCCTGTGACATTAGATTTTAAAACTGTCATTTTATCCCATCATCCTATTATATGGTTGTGTGTAATTGCATATAGTGAGTGCTATAGCCGAACTATTCTCTAGATTTCTTATCTTATTCGGGTCACACAATCTAGATTTTGCTAGGTTTCTATGCAGTGATAAATTAGTCAGAAAGTATGTAGGGAAATATAAAAATAAAACAAATAATGATAGTAGTGATAGTGATAATAATATTAATAGTAGTATTAATGACGACACGCACATCAAACATGCGCAAGACAGCACCAACAATAAGGAATCTAAATCATCAGTAGTAATTCCATACAAGGAAGGAACCTCGGGAACCTTACGTAGAATTCTTAACAAGGCAGGAATAAAAGTAACTGGCATTCAAACCAACCACAAACCCCATTAGAAACAAGCTTTATCGGTTAAAAGATCAGTCCTGTGGAGCCTTTAAAACAAAACAATTTAGTTTATCTAATACCCTGTTGTTGCAATGATTGTCAGGTCAAATACATAGGTCAAAGTAGTAGAACAGGGGCAGTCAGTCAGACTAGCCGAACATAAAAACTTAGCTGCAAAATCTAGATTAGTTGACCCGAATAAGTTAGGAAATCTAGAGAATAGTCCAGCTGTAGCACTACATGTAATTAAACACAACCAACCATACAATAGGATGATGGGATAAGATGACAGTTTTAAAATCTAATGTAAAAGCATGGTGGAGGGAGAGATTGATAACAGAAGCTTTGTTTATCGAATCAACTGAAGAGAATACCTGTAATAGGAATGATTCAACGCCTGTTCACCCCGACGTCTGGAAAATTCTACTATCCCTACGACGACAAATGGGAGAGAACAAAGAAAACTATAGAACTCAAGTTTCGAAGTCGTGTGATTATAATTGATGTTATGATTAACATAACATAACATAACATAAGCTTTATTCCAAATCAGTACTTGTGATACAGAATGGAATTCTCAGCATTTTACTACAATATTGCATCCAGTTTTTTACATTAACAATAAATAAAGTTCTACATAGATTAAAGTTATCTCAACAACATATTAGTATGTCGGTAGCAAAGCCAAAATTAAAGTGTTTGAAGGTGTTAGAAAAGTAGATACTACTAGCATATTTACTGGCGTAAGCGATAGCAAAATGGTCGAGATATACAGAGTGTGAAAGAACGAACAAGAATGTTTTAAGTAGAGTTTGCAAGGAAGAGAGAAACAAAACAGCACATAACAAAAATAAAATACAGAATGAAGAGCGAGAAAACGTTGTACCTATAAATGATGTGAGTTGGAAAGACGAGATCCATTGGAATTTGATGCATTCATGAATTGAATTTTTGATTCTCCCGTCGATTGATTGGACCGAAGTGCTCGGTCTCAGGTTGACATGTCTATTGGCTTCTTGTGCAGATGCTTCGACGATGTCTGGGTATTTAATTAGTATACAATTTGTGGATGGTGGCTAGCAGTGGAATCCAGGATGAAGTGCATTTCGTCCTATTTGGGACTCGTCAGCTGGATGTACCTGCATTCCGCAGTCAGTGAGTGATGATGTTCCCACCGAGGCTCGAACCCAGTACCCATAATTTCGAACGCCAAAGCGTTATCCACTAGACCGAGCACTTCGGTCCAATCAATCGACGGGAAAATCAAAAATTCAATTCAATAATTAATGTGACCAGTTGCACAAGAGGTGGCTCAAGCGGTCTAGGGGATAACGCTTTGGCGTTGGAAATTATGGACACTGGGTTCGGGCCTCGGTGGGAACATCATCACTCACTGACTGCGGAATGCAGGTACATCCAGCTGACGAGTCCCAACTAGGACGAAATGCGCATCCTGGATTCTACTGCTAGCCACCATCCACCAATTGTATACTAATTAAATACCCAGACATCGTCGAAGCATCTGCACAAGAAGCCAATAGACATGTCAACCTGAGACCGAGCACTTCGGTCCAATCAATCGACGGGAAAATCAAAAATTCAATTCAAAACTAATATGGAATTATTTACTACCACAGTACCCAAGTTTTAAACATATATTGATAAGTCATCTGTTTTATGATTGACAGGCTCAAGGTCATTTGTGTGTTCACATCCTGTGGGACATGATAGTCTAACTCTGCCCATTCTGTGACTTTTACGCCAACAGTAAAGAAAAAAATATGAATCCACAGCCAAAGACGTTCAACCAAAGGGGTTAGGGTTAGGGTGAAACATGCAACCAAGATTAGGCATAGCATCCATTTGAAGTATTTAGAGATGATCTTATTGGTTGGTTGGTTCAAGGCTAATTAAATATCCACTAGAGGATAA